AGAAATATTATGGTAATATAGCTTTTATTTTCCCTCCACAGAAATATTATGGTAATATAGCTTTTATTTTCCCTCTACACTTGTTTCACTCAGGTTGTTTTTTGTAATATTTTTCCTCTGCACTTGTTTCATTCAAGTTGTTTTTGATAATATTTTCCCCATGCACTTGTTTCATTCTAGTTGTTTTTGATAATATAGTTGTTATTTTTCCGCTGCAGGAATATTATGGTTATATTACGGTTTTATTGTTTTATATTGCACATATTTTTGTGAAGAATATATATAAACAACTTAGTATTAAAAAATATATCCTAGGAATAACCACGGTACAACTTCGGAACCCAGAATACACAAAAGGAATATTTGAATTAAATTAATTAAATTGCTTCTGATCGAGCGTTGTTTTATAAGGGTTGTAATGTGGTAATTTTTAGATATTATTATGGTAATATTCATAGCACGTTGGAATAAACTAGCAAATATTCTTATCATACCTATCTGATTCCAATAGTATTTCAACAATATTAGGATAATATTACGGTTTTATTACTTTATAGTGTACATATTTTTGTGAGGATATATATAAACAGCTTAGTGTTAAAAATATATCTTCGAAACAACCACGGTACGACAGCGTAGCCCATAATACACTAAAAGAATATTCGAATCAAACCAATTATATTCCTTCTGATCGAGCGTTGTTTTATAGGGTTGTATTGGGATAAATTTTTGATAATATTATGGTAATATTCACCGCACGCTGAAATAAACTAGCAAATATTCTTATCACACATATCTAATTCCAGTAGTATTTCGACAATATTATGATATTATTATGGTTTTATTGCATTATATTGCACATATTTTTGTGAAAAATATATATAAATAGTTAGTATTAAAAATATATCATCGGAACAACCACACTACGACCGTGGAGCCCAAAATACATAAGAGGAATATTCGAATCAAACTAATTATATTCGTTCTGATCGAGCGTTGTTTTATAAGGGTTGTATTGAGATAATTTTTCGATAATATTATGGTAATATTCACAGCACAATGGAATAAACTAGCAAATATTCTTATCTCACCTATCTGATTCCAGTAGTATTCCAACAATATTATGATAATATTACGGTTTTATTGCTTTATACTTCCCATATTTTTGTGATGAATATATATAAAGAGCTTAATATTGAAAATAAACACTCGGAATAACCACGCTACGACCACAGAACCAAGAATAAACTAAAGAAATATTCCAATCAAACCAGATAATATTCCTTATGAGCGAGCATTGTTTTTTAAGGGTTGTATTGAGTAATTTCTTAGTAATATTATTGTAATATTCACCACAGGTTAAACCGATCTGACATTGCAACAGGTTTGGGTAACCACAAGTGAACATAAGTAAATATGTATAATCAAAATTAGTTCACATATCACAAACTGTTTCGAATTTTAAGTTATGTATCTGACTAAACCGATCTGACATTGCAAAGAGGTTTGGGTTGGATGGTGGAATGTATCTTGACTTGAACTAACTTCTTTCTCCTTTACTGTAATACAATGTTTCATGTTAGGAAGTTGTAACACAATATTCTTTCTCCTTTTTACTCTCCTGTTGTTCTCCCAATAACCTTTTAACATTGTATTAGATATTTCTTTTGGCCGCATCTTTGTTGGGTCATTCAAATTGTGTTGTATATTTGGTGTCCTTTTCTTCTTTGACCTTGGCATTTCCCGATAGTCTCTCCCATTTAATATGACCTCAGATTCGATTGTTAGTCTCTTTAATGTCTCTAGCACATTTTTCTCAGCAAGTTCATTACCTTGCGTTAATAGACTGATCTAATATGCAAATTTATGAATGTGTGTGCGATATATGAGCCCACTTGAACAAGTTGGTGACGTTTGTGAATCCTTCAGATGTTTATACCCATAGCTGTTATATATATCCTTCTTTGCATTAAACAGACCACCGTAATAAAATATATATTTGTCAAAGATTTTGTTATATTCTCATGGTAGAACACCCTTAGAGTGTGAGCACATAATAAACCTACCGTTTCAAAATTTTTGCAACTACATGTAATTTTAGAATTACTTTTGTCGACTTCAATCCAAGGTCTGTCTGTGTGCTCATTATCTAAGTTTCTAATGTAAAATTTTGAATCTTCGGTGGTTGAACACTCCACAACAAGTCCACACAAACCATGTAGCAACTCTGCTTCAAATATTGAATATAACTTCTTCGTATAAACTAAAACACATTGCCTCAACACGGGACAACTTTTTATAGCGAGAACAATTGCAGAGTGTTCACATTTAAAATCTTCATCTTTCTTATTCATTCACCAAGAATTGATGACATTTTCAAGACCTAAAAAACTTTCAATGAGGGTGCTTGTTGGCTTGGAGGCACCATGACAGATGTTATTTGTGTACTCACTTCTTTGCGTTGATAGATTCCTCATCCCAAATATTTTCTTATTGAACGTTGTTGACCCCTTATACCTGATATTGTGCAAACTATTCAACCAAGCATTCTCGTGTAGATTTCCTAGCTCAATTATTGTACACCAAGTTTCTTCAAACTCCTCGGAGTTGCATTTACCCATGCATTTATAAAAAAGCTCATTGACTCTTTTGGTTCTCACACCACAGTGGACTTTTAAAGACAATTTCTTGTAAATATGTCTTTGACATAATCTATGTCTGGTGTGCGTCAGACACTCTTCAATGGTTCTGGCCATTGTTTGATCCTGGTAAGTGAATATTGTTCTCGGGTGTTTGTTATTCATTATCCAGATCAATGATTTGAATACCCACTTGAATGAGTCAACTGTTTCATCTGACAAAAAGTCAACTTCAAATAGAACATTCTGCTAGTGGTAGTTCACACTGACAATAAGAGCACAACATAAATTATATTTATTTAGTCTATAACCTGTATCAAATATTATGATATCCTCAAAGCAATCGTAATCAAGCCTATATATCACATCACTCCAATAGAAATTCAACCAACTATCAGACTCATCAATTTGGACGTCCCATGCAACCATCGTATCCTTAGCTTGCCTCCCAGTGAACAATCGCAGTAGAGAATTAGCATCTCCATATTCGATTTTAACTCTTCTCTTTCTTTGTATAAAATTATAAGCATCCCTCTTCATGCAATCAAGATTCTCCACACCCCCGAATTTTGTAGTCAGAAAACTAAATGCATCGCTTGTTCTAATCCCTAATTGTGTCATCGATCTGAGCACTTCTGCATTGATATCACTTATTTTTCTGTTGGAACACAATAGATGTTTGTCACCATCCGTCGCTAAATGATGGTTGTGACTTTCTAGAAACTTCTTAACCGACCAGTTACCTTCGACATCGACGACATATCAGATCATTGTTGGACACCCAGTCCTTGTGTCCTATGTTATTTAATTCTTTCTTGAAACCAGTCTTACCATAAATGAAATCATTTGTCTTAATTATTTTTTATTTCGGCAAAAAACCAACGTGGTAGTAAATCCGATTTGGTGTGCCTATGCACAATATTGTTCATAAGCTTCCTTCTAATTATAAATCATTATGTGAAACAAGCTATCTGCAATTGGATCAATGCACACACTTACATACTCGGAGAACTTCAAATTTCAACATACTGCCATTATACATAAATAACATTTCAACAAAACTAATTAATAAATCCAATAAGACTAGTATAAAACGATACAAAACTAATACCATAATACATAATACCACTATAATAATATAAAAATAATACCATGATGACACAAATGTATAGTTCAAAGCCAATAATGCAGACATAAAATCATAATACCACCATAATAACACCAAAATAATATTAATTACAATGACAACATAACACTCCAATAAAACCATTAATTAGATTCAATAACACTAGTATAATCCAATGTTAAAACCTAAATAACACCCAACTACCCTTATAAGCCAAAAATCATGACCAAAACAATCACAATACCAAAAAGATAACATCATTAATAGTCAACATAAAATTCCAACTAAATCAGGTAATTAGAATCAATACTACAACTATAACACCATGATAATACCTAAACAACACCACTTTCACCCTCCAACATAACAATAACATTGCAATTAAATAATACAGTAATCACACTAGAATAGCTCCGCAATACTATCATTAGGACGACATTAACAGCACCAACAATTACAGAGAAATAAGTTCACAAGCGGAATGTTTCTGGCCGCAGCTAATAAGCTCAGTTCATCGACATTATTCTTGGAATCATTTTGCGATTCCATCAATATTTCTTGGTCGAGAGATAAATCCATCAGATGACTTACCCTAGCTGTCGAATACAAACACAAATGGAAAAATAAAATAATTCCTAAACCCTAAACCGGAATGAGACCAAATATTCTTTTTTTCAATTTGGCGAGATCCAAAATGACAAAATGTTCGATTTGGCAGGATCCGAAAATGACAAAAAAGAAGCATTTTGGATGCTTAGGCAGGGCTCAGGCTGGGTTGCGTTGTAAAAAAAAAAATTTCTGCTTATTTTTTTGATGTTAGGCCCATAATTACACGTGTCCTTTTTCTACTCGCTGCCGCACGTAACACTGCGTGCAATTTCCGGAATGAATAATTTTTCCTCGGTCTTATTCTTCCCGTGGTTGAAGACATCACTGAATGTAGTGGAGGTACATCGGACGGCATGGATTTTATGTCCAGATAACGGACATAATATTTTCTCCTGAATTTAATAATAAATTACACAAATTATTATTATTATTATTTTTGATTGTATGATTAAAAATCTTGCTTTCAAATATTAGTTTCCTTTACAAGAACCTTCTCCAAGAAAAAAAAAAAAAAAAAAGAAAAGAAAAAAGAAAAAAAAAGAAAAGGCATTTACATACATAACTCACAATTATTCTGAACTAAACACATCTATCCTCCAAATTTTAATATTTAGAAGCATATCATTCAAAACACACCTTCCCATGTATAGATTTATTACATCAAAACATTATAAATATAAATATAAATATTTAGATGAAATTACTGCACTAACAATTGTTCTCTTACTATTCAAAAGTTGACTATCTACCAAAACATAGGAAGCAGAAATGTCAAAAGAGAAATTACTGTGGATTTGGCGGCCTGCTGTTGGCGGCAGAGACCCTAGAACCCCACTCAAGGAGCTCCTTGCTGGTATCATCCTTGTGCACGATAATCTCTATGAAGCACAAGCTGTCCTTCTTAACTCCAGTAGCGGTCTGAATCGCCTCCTTCAGTTCTTCCTCGTACATCACCTTCGTCGTCCAGCATTTGCCCTCGCCATTGTGTATGGCGTCCACTAATCCTGTGTAGTTCCAGCCCTTAATCACATTGTAAGGTCCGTCGTGGATCTCAACCTCAATGGTGTAGCCTCCATTGTTGATGAGGAAGATGATGGGGTTCTGCCCGTTCCTTAACATTGTTGACACATCCTGAGCTGTCACCTGAATTAAGAACGAGTTTCCATAGCATCACTTGAGAATTTAACTGTTAGGAATGTAAATACATGAGAATTGTAGCATGTATGCTGCTGAAATTTACCTGGAAGCTTCCATCGCCGATGAAGGAGATGATGCGCTTGTCCTTGGCCGCTTGGGCGTAGCCAAGGGTGGCCCCAACCGACCAACCGATGGAGCCATACTGCATCTGGAATTCATATCCGCAGCCTTCCGGTAACTTGAGCTTCTGGCAGTTGAACCAGGAGTCTCCGGTCTCGGCGATCACGGCGTTTGCGCCGGTGAGCATGGCTTGAACGTGCTTGAAGAGAACATTCACACGCAGAGGCTCCTTGGGCTGGGACTCGGGAGGTTGACCCTCCGGCACGAAGATCCGGCTGTAGTTCTCATAGGCTGTGGTGTTCTTCTTCAGCCTCTTGGCCAGAGCATGTAAAAAATCCTTCATGAGAATGCAGCCAAAAGCAGGGCCATTGGCGACTACAACGCGGTCAGGCTGGACAATGATGGCTTTCTCCTTCTTGAGAAGAAGGGAGTAGCCGACGGAGCTGTAGTCGTTAAAGATGGGACCTGCGAAGAGATAAGCATCCGCGGATTCAACTATTTCGGCGCAGAAGGCTGTGCTGACAGCACCCCAATAGGTACCGATGAATCTGGGGAGGTTCTCAGGGACTAATCCCTTTGCCGACGGCATTACGGCTACAGGATAGCCAGATGCATCTGCGAGCTCGGTGAAGGCTTCTCCGGCCTTAGCTACCCTCAGTTTGGGCCCGCCGACCAACACGGGTTTTACTGCCTTGTTTAAGAACTCTGCTGTTGCAGTCACCGCGCACTCTAAACCCATCTTGTTGCTCAATCTGGGAATATTATCGGAGCAATCAAAGATTGTACCAAATTATTTGTATTTTTTAAATACTAAACTTTTAAAAAAATTATTAATGATTATATGTTTTGTAAAAAATTCGAATACATTCCGAACGACACTGCGCATAATAAGTTTTTTTTTTCCTCTTTCAGATCTTCCGTGAATGAATATGGAGTAAAGATGCATAAACCCTAATTACGTTAATTGGGTTTCCGGTGAAAAAAGTTGGGAGAAAAGAGGGGAAAGGAAAACTAACCTGGTACCTAAGAAGAAAGGGACGGGCTCATGGCTGAAAGTTGGATGAGGGATGGCGGGAAGATTACAGCTGACACTGATGTAAACCGGCTTGCTTTCCTTGAGAGCAGTGGAGATCGCCGTATCGATGAGATCGTGAGCATCCTCCAAGTTATTCACCACCGCCTACAAAATCCATGCCAGGGCGCGATTGAATTAAGAAATAGGGAAAAATAAGAGTTAATCGGATTAAGAGAAAACAGATCCATCCTATTAAAGAAACCTGATAGCAGGTTACGGTCTGAAAGCATCGAAGCTCCTGAGAGAAATCTGGAAGGCCGATGGTGTGATGCAGGATCCGATTCGTCCCGTAATCATTGGTATTAGGGCCGCCGACGATGCAGATGACAGGGAGATTCTCGCTGTAGGCACCAGCAATAGCGTTAATAACGCTGAGACCGCCGACCGTAAAGGTCACGACGCATGCTCCGACACCATTCGCCCGAGCGTAGCCGTCGGCAGCGTACCCTGCGTTCAGCTCGTTGCAGCATCCTATGTTCTTGAGCTTCGGCTCAGCGATGAGGTGGTCAAGAAGCGTGAGATTGAAGTCTCCGGGAACCGTAAATATGTCACGGACGCCGATCTGGGCGAGACGAATGGCCAGGTGGCGGCCAAGATTCGCCTCTCCGGATGGACCCGCCGGGGAAGCCGGATGGCAGAGGGTGGCCGGAACCCCCTCCGGCCAGGGTGGCCGGACCCCCCTCCGGCCCGCCGTTGCCGGCCGTCTTGAATGGGGAGTCCAACGATCCAACGTTGTTCTCCATCGATCTCTGAATCAGGAAAGAGGACGGAAAGAAGAGAATAAAGCGTGCTTTGTGGGAATGGGGAAGGAGGAAAGGCGGGTATAAATACCCGGGACGAAAACAGCGGCCGGGGTTGGGCTTAGGCTTGGGGAGGAAGCCGCCAGAGCGAGTTGTGGCGTGGTGCGCGGACGCCCATTGACTCGTGAGCCAATTGAGGGGCTGCGTATGCGGTTTGAAATCCGGTGTGCGAGCGGTTTCTAGACGGTGGGGGAGAACACTTGGCGGTTAATTGTAATGGATGGTGACATGTGACAAAAATACCATATATTAATTAGGTGCTACGATGACGATGTTATAGTTTATTTGACAATGTTGGAAGTTATAATAAGGTGCTATGATGATAATGATATTGTTTATTAGACATTGTTTGAAGTTTTTTTATTTTATTTTTATTTTTATTTTAGATGAGACCAATGATGATGAAAATAATATGGTTTTAATGCCATAGATGAAATTAGGATTAATATATGTGGGGTTTGTAATCCATAAAAAGGGAAATGAAGATTGGAGGAGTTTTGAAGTTTGGAAAATCCTTGAGCTCTATTTGACGGTGGGACCATGTCTATCTGGTCACTATAGCTACCCCATCACCATCATTAAGCCATCGATGCGAACTAGTTTCTCTCGCATGATTAGCATCATTGTCTATGAATGTCAGATCACCATAGTGAGATAGTCACCACTCGTTTATTATCGTTGAATAGTTATAACCAAAGTAATGTTTGTCAAACCACCATCACTTGTTCTCTGTTGTTATGACACGACCTCTAGTAAACTACACGTTATTCTATTATAATTGTTAGATCGGCTTCATTGAGTCACAATTGTTTGACTACTCTTAAATGTGATTCGCGTCATTAACATTTTCTACTCCCACTAATAAGTCCATGTATACATTCCACATTTATAATGTCGTCATCTCCTTTTTTAAAAGACTTGCAAAGTTTTATTGCCAACTTTTATGTGTTGGAATCACTACAACTAGGCTAAATCAATGATTTTTTTTTCTATTTTTTGTGTTTTACATGCAAAATAAATATTGATTGTCGTGTGTTCATATTTTTTCTTTATTTGTATGTGAGATCTCTGTGCGAATATAGGATGCTAAACTCTCACTTGACACCCGCTAGTTTGTTTCCGTTCATTTTTCTCTTTTTTTTATTTTAAAAGGAGTCGCCAGCTTGTCGATCGTCGTATAATTCCCCCATTCGAATAAGTCTCCCTCCCTAACCATATAAATGATTCAAAGAGGAGAGGAATCGAATAAGAAGGGACATACGACAAAGAGACAAACAAGAGAAAAAGTAAAACGTGGAGAGTCTACGTGCGATAAACCTCGCAAGGATATGTTAAGAATGTTCGCCCAAACAAGATCGGGCGGAGGCACCTTAAACCAATATCCGCGAAAGAAGTATCTACATAGACTACCCATAACCAGAGAGTCAGGTGTATGTACCTGTTCTGGGGTCAAGAGCACTCCCAGAGGAACGTGTTCCTACTGGTTAATTACATCTTGGGGGATACCCAAGAATACTCTCGATAAAAGGAGTTTCGCTTCATATTATCATAGATCTGGGGTATAAGAAATCAAATGAAGGTTATTCCGTGTGGGAACAGTCCCAATGCTTTAAAGCTCACGCTAAGTAATCGAGCAGAGAGTGAGTCTCTCACATCCCGAAATAGGTAGCGGCTCATCGGCACATGGGGCCCACGAAATAACCTAAATCATCTTGACGGGGCTATCCCAATACGTCAAAGCACGTCCGGGCCATAGGGCAGAGGACAAATCGTCGTATCCCAAATGGGCGGCAACTCATCGGCATCGGGCCGTCAAGGTGATATCAACGAGGTCAAGGAGCGACAGGGCTCAAAGGGGCTCAACAAAAAGGAAGGTAGAATGATCCTAAAAGGTAGAGGTAACTGAGTCGGGGTACCACGGACCCGTCATACACAGCTACTAGGACCCTAAGTCTACCTGGTCGTGAAGGTAGTCGACCCAACACGTCCTGAAATCCCCGGTCAGCAATCCGTGAATTGCATCATCCACGGGAACCTCGGTAGCCCTAAGGTCAAAGGAAGGAAACTCTATCCTATGACTACAAGCTGGAGCTCCAAGAGGTGGGACTTATACCTGCTGAAATGGCAAGAATGCCTCTGGAAAGAAGAGAAAGTGGAGGTTCAGCTACAAAGCTGGAAACACTCCAAACAAAAGGACTTACACCCCGTCTGGGTCGGGGAGCCTTCTAACACCCTAGGCGCACTAGACAACCACCTATATGAAGGTATG